ATCCCTTGTCAAATTTTCCCCATTCTGTAAGTCCTTTTTTTTACTCCTTTTTACAAGTCTTTTGATGTATGTAAGGATTTCATTTTTAGAAGATCTCATTCTCTAGTTTATCATCTGTTGTGTGTTTTATCATCAATTTATGCCATAAATTTAGTCCCCTAAGTTTGCCTTTATATTTCATATGGTGATTTTTTTAAATAAAATGGTTGACAGTGTTTGTTGGCGCTTTCGGATTAAAACAAACTCGGAAGTAGGAGTGGCATCCACTTCTGAAATAGCTTGCCTCCAGAAACTCTATGAACTTAGAGAAAAGATGAAAGTTATGTAAGTGTTCAGGTCTTTCATTCCTAGGGTCGTAATGAGTCGCCTATGACTCGATGCACTTAACAACAACTGGTTTACTTACAAAGTTTATATACATTGTTTTTCACACTGGATCTTTCCCATTTCCTTTACCCTCCCTCCACCCATCAAATTGTGCTACCCTATGATTTAGCATCTACCCACCCCACCTTATCTCACCTCTGCACATCCTCACTCCTCTGTCCCACCACTTGGATCCTCATACATGTTCTACAATAATGGTCTTTTGAAGTATTTGTCCTTATAGAATTGAGTTAGTTCATTTAGCATGATGCTCTCCAGTCCCTCCTAAGTTAGGTAGTAATTTACAAAATCATTGCTCCTGCATGCTGCATAGTATTCCATCATAAGAATATACCATAATTTCTCAATCTATTTGATTGTGATTGGACATTTGAGTCATTTCCATGTTCTTGCAATGGTGAATTACGATGCTATGAACAAGTCTCCATTTGAGCCTCAGTTTTCATTCTCTCAGGTTATACTCCAAGCAGTGGAATAGTTGGGTCATATGGAATTTCTATGTTCAGCTTTGTTAGAAAATGTCAAATTGCCTTCCAATGTGGTTGTACCATTTTACAACTCCACCAACAATGAACAAGAGTTCCTATCTTGCCACATCCTCTCCAACATTTATTACATATCCTGTTAAATTTTGCCACTTCTACTAGAGTGAGATGGTATCTCATTATTGTGGTTTTGATTTGCATCTCTCTTATAGCCAGTGATTTTGAGCATTTCTTCATGTGTCTGTTGGTCATCTGAATATCTTCTTCTGTGAATATTCTTTCCCTGTCTTTTTCCCAATTTGTAATTGTGTTATCAGTCTTTTCCTTGTGGAGGCCCTGTAGGATTCTATAAACTTTAATATGAAACCCTCGTCTGAAATAGTAGTGTTGAATGTTTTTACCCAGTCAGTAAATTTTCTTTTCACTGTGTTAGAAAATGTTTTTTATGCACACAGGGATTTAATCTTCAGAAGGCTCCATTCATCATTTCATTATTTTTGTAGTGATTTTAGATTTAGAAATTTTTTGTGTGTTTTAGATTTAGATCTTTATCTTAATTTTTGTATATAGTTTGAGGTTTGGATTTTGTTTTCTTTTTCTGAAATTAGGTATAAAGTTTGGTCGGCACCATTTGTTAAGATATTATCTCCATGGGATATTCAGTACTTTTCTCCAACAACACAATTCAAAGGCATCAAACCTTCTTCTGTCATCCTTATTTATTGTCCAGCTCTCAGATGTATAATAAGTAATTGAAAAGACCGTGGCCTGGATCAGGTGCACCTTGGTCCTCAAACTGACATCATTGCTCCTCAAAAATTTGGAAAGTTCCCTGACTACAGACTTTCCCAGTGCAGTACATCTCCTGATCTTCCAAATGCTAAAACACAGTAAATTTATTGATCGTGGATCCAAGGCAGAGTTGTTGATAGTTTCAATCTTTTCTCCATCTTCATGGTGTTGCCTTTCGGTCTAATTGTGAAGATTTTTATTTTCTTAATGTTGAGATGCATATTGAAGGTATAGCAAAACCCAATCTTCCACTGATAGGCATGTGACGGTTTTGCCTGATTTAAAATGGCTAAGAATCAAATCCAAGTGTCCTACATGAAAGAAATAAAACACTACATTGTCAATGTCTCCATATTGAAAGTGGTGTTGTTGTTGTTGTTGTTGTTGTTAGGTGTCATTGAGTCAAGAACTACTCATAGTGACCCTAGGAACATAGATCTGAACCCTGTCCTATTCTCTGCTATCATCATCTCTGACACACTTAATCCCATTGCTGCAGTCACTTTGTCAGTCTATTCATTGGAGGTCTTCCTTTCTTTAGCTGACCTCCATCTTTCCAAGCATGATATCCCTTTTCAGGGAATAATCTCTCCTAGTAACTTTGTTGTTGTTGTTATGTGCCGTGGAGTCATTTGCAACTCATAACGACATAACAACAGCCCTAAACCCTGCTCTATCCTGTGCCAATCTCATTGCCTCTGACACACCCATCCTGATTACCCCAGTCACTGAATCAATCCACCTCATACTGGGCCTTCCCCTCCTGCGCTGTCCCTCCACCCTACCAAGCATGATGTCCCTCTCCAAGGACCTGTCTCTCCTTACAACATGTCCAAAGTATGTCAGACAAAGCCCCAGAATCCTTGCCTTCAAGGAGTAGCCTGGTTTAACCCTCTCTAGGATGAATCTGTTTGTTTTCTTGGCAGTCCATGGTATATTCAACACCACAGCTCAAAGGCGTCAATTCTCCGGCAATTAGTTTGAATATATTTGTGTTTTCTGGTCACATTATCCATAGGAAGTCATGCTGCTAACCCAAAAACCTTGCTTCTTGGGTAGATGGATTGACAAAGAGTTACGTGTTCAAAGCCACCAGGCCAAAAGAGGGGATAGTTAAACTTTCTTAAATGGAAATCTGTTAAAACAGAAACAGAACAATTAGGTCGACTTGCATGTTTGCCTCTCCCACTTACCTTAAAGTAGTAAGGTATGCATCTACTTTAGTTTCAGATTTACAAGGAGCAGAACTGGAGAGAAGATCTTCAAAAATTCTCTTAAAGTGTAAATGAAGAGATGCTCTTAGTGAGTGAGTGAAAAAGAGGTTTGGTTTGGGTGGGTCAGGAACCAGCAGACATGGTTGACTGACGTTTACCTCATCTTGGCAACAGACTTGTGAGACAACTGTGGGATTTCATTTTTGCTTCACAGTCTCACTTCTATTTCTGATATTCTGGGACGTGTTGACTAAAAGTATTATCCCTGGGACAAGCTGTGTAAAAATTGTTGACAAATATCGCTTAACAAATAATTCTTGGCACAAGCTGAAAATCCTAACCCTTGTGAATTGTTTTGTTTTATTTTGGTTTTTTTATGTTACAAGCACTTAGACTTTGACAAGGTACCTGGGTTGTCTTTTAAGATAAATGGAAGTGAAGGTTTCAGGTTTAACTGTAGCTTAATTTAAAAGTGGGGCTTCGATTCTAGTTCTAAGGTAGCCATTTTGTTGTGCCAAATGCCTGTTTAGAAATTTTGCTTACACAGGACCCATGCTGATCCCTTCTTCTTTTTCCAGGATATAAACTTGGGAAACATAACTTGCCCCTCGGTTCTCACATTTCTCAAAAGTTAGATCTACTGACCACAAAAAAAGGAAGTTCCATCAGCAGTTTGCAAAGGAACAATTCAGAAGAGAAATATATTAAATCCTCAGGGAAATTAAACCAAATAATCCAATAACAGCTTTACAAAATTAACACTAGACCATAAATTGAATTAATGGCCTCCTACAGTGGGGACCTTTGGCTACCACAGACCAAAACAAATGAGATCAATGACAGAAGATGCTTTAAGACAGATTGGGAAAGGCAGCCACACAACGCGAAGTCAAGGCATCACCAGCATTGACCCAGAGTTGTTTGAAAACTTTCTGACTTATTCTGGAGATCCTTAGTACAAAGAACGGTCTTCATAGTCCATCTCATACTTCAAAGTACAGTAGGTTGAGAAATGGGATGAGAAGTCATTTATAAATTCAACTCTAGGCAGTGGGAAGGTGGAACTCAAGGTAAGGGCTTATTCTGAGAGGGTTGAATGGGTCAGGGTCCATATGAGTGAAACGTGGCTTCTCTGGAACTAAAATTTTTGTGCTATGGCAAAGACCTCTTTGCTCTGAAGGACACTTGCCCTGGTCTTTCAGTAAATAAATATTTCTTTCTGAAAGCCCTTGTATGTCACAAAGTCAGTATGCCTGTGGCAATAAGAGATTACTTAAATAATATGGGCCAAGGGAACAACAAAGTCAGCTTGTATGTGACTTACCAAATCTCTGTGGGGGTTCTTAATAACTTTCAGAAGGAAGGTAGGATACAGCAGCATCATAGAAATAAAATCCTAGTGATTTACATAGATTTCCCCAGTAAGGCCCACAGGGCAAATTCAAGAGGCTTTGAACTGCCGCTGGCTTCTCCAGGGACCACCAGTTTGTCAAATGCCTTTGGAATAAATGGGCTTATGCACAGCCTTCTTGTTACAGCTGACATTTACTCTTAGAGTCTCTTAATAGCCAACTACCATTTTACAAAAAGTTAATTAATGATATTTTATTTTGGCATTATGTGACTTGGGATCCTTTTCATATTCTTAATTTTGTTTGACATTTGGAAAATACTGTGACTAATTCGTTTATGTGAATTAAAAAAAAAATTTTTAAAAACCATGCCCTGAGTATTTCCCCCTTCCGTCATGAATTGACGCACAAACCCAAAACAAAATAGTTTTTGTTTCAGCTCAGAGAAAGAAAACATTCTGTTGGTTTGGAATTTTAATTACTATCACCTCAAACTAATTAGATTCCCTTTCCTAATGAGGAAAATGATTTTCAAAGTTAATGAATTTGCCATCAGAAAGCATGGCTGTCTTCTCAGAATATATTATCTGCATTCCTTGCATGCATATATTTGTCACCCCCTCCAATTAATAATAGAACATAAAACATGTGGGCTTGATTTCGCTGTTAAAGGGAACTTTCCTTTGTTTTTAGACAGTATAAGAGACCACAACTTTTCCACCTGTAGACACTAAGCTTCACATATTAACTTAGTTCTGTTTCTTGACAAAATGGAAATTATTGCATCCAAACCATTCATTTTATTGATTCTAGCCACTTCAAGCCTGTTAACATCAAACGTCTTTTGTACTGATGATTTAATGTTACCCAGTCTTCACAGCAAAGAAAATGATGACAAATATTCTGAGGTAAGTTTTCTTCAAAAAATTCTTATATGACTAGTATTAATGATATAATGTTTGTACTGAGTCTAAAGATTTTGTGAAATCATAAGTTAACTTATACTTTGCTTTTTGGTTAAACTTCAGCCTTGCCATGACAGTGTATGGATGTAATTTGTATAATAAGTAAACAGCCTGACCTCTCCAATGACAATTTAAATAAAAATCTATTGCTGTTGTTGCTGTGGTGGTGGAGGTGGTGGTGGTGAGGTACTGTCAAGTCAACTACCACTCATACCACTCATGTGCCATCCCTACGACCTCCGATATGCTCTCACCCTTTGTCACAGTCCATCCTCCACCAGATGGATATAAAACACCTAGTGTATCCAGCCGGTGGAGGGTCTTCATCTGTTGCTCTGACGTACCACCTTTCCCAACATGCAACCTCAAATTTGCAGTAAATCTATATCTAAGTTAAATGTTTATCTCTACACAGTGGCATTGCAAGTTATTTTTACTTTCTTCTCTATATTTTTCTGTGTTTTCCAAGTATTCTGAAATGTGTATGTATTACATTTTGAAGTTAGAAAGCATCAGCTTGAAATCTTCGTATGGGTCAGTTGTCCTGGTAAAAAAGTCAAACAAAAATATCCCGTAGTGTCAAGTCAATTCTACCTCCGATTAACACTGCCTTGTAAGGAATCCACAGCTGTAAATCTGTGCAAAAGCAGAATGACACATCTTCCTCCCACAGAGTGGCTTATGGGTGTAAATCTTGATGTTTCAGTTCATAGTTGAGCCTTTAACCACTGCGTAACCAAGGCTCCTTCATAGAAAAGTAAACCTAATTAAAGATTCACTATATTTTAAATAACTCTTATACAGTTGGTACATCAGTAGTGTGGTAATCCAGAAACTAAGAGCTCTTTACTAAAGGTTTAACATTTTTGTATATTACATTCTTTGCATGTGTGTGTTTATTTTATATTGGTTTGCTCACAAACTTCATATGCATTGTGTTTCACACTATTCTTCATTTATGTTGTGCTTCATACAATCATTGCCATGCATTATGTTTTACAAAATCAATCACTATTGGACCTTGCCCATCATTACCCAATCTTTTCAGGTCCCTGCTGGATTCTGCTAATTTCCTTTAAATCCTCCCTCCACTCACCAAATTGTGCAAGCCTGCGGTTTCGTTCCTATCCATCTTTACTCGTCTGCTCCCACCCCTTTCTCCCTTGGGTCCCTATACATTTTTTACTAGTCTCTAATAAAAATACAACCTTTTTAAAAAAAATGTATTTGGAGTAGAATTTAGAAAAGGAAAGGATAAAAAAGAAATTCAATTTGACTTCCCACAACTATAGCCTAAAGCGTAGCTAACATCTCTGCTTCCATGGATCCGCCACTTCTGTCCCTAAAGTGGGAGCGGGGGGAGGGGGAGTGACAGGGAGGGAAGACGCAGAGAAAGAATGGCAAGATTTCTCTAAAATAAAAATATAAAAATACATTAAATATTTCATAAATGAGATGAATCGAAGGACTGGAAGGGAACAATTGCAGTAAAACTTTTGTCTCATTGCAGTACTTCATTATGCTCCTGCTGCTTGAACACATTGCTATAGTCACTATATGTTTTATTAATATTTTATAGTTGTCTTATAATAGTCTAGGGAATGAGAACTAGATTGCTTTAAGCTTAATGCAAATTATTTATTAAAAACTTCTGCACATGAGAGCACACACTTTGCTTATTGTCCTAACGATTCTGCTGATTAAAGTCTGAATTTAAGTTCATTTAGAATGGAAGTCTTTTGCTTGTAACAACAACAACAAAAATATGATAATGGTCATTTCTAATTATAGGTTAGAGGAGACCCCAAAGCAGAAGAGGAAAGAAGCTTCAATTTTGAGGAATTAAAAGATTGGGAACCAAAATATGTTAAGATGACAACACCAGCACCTCACAAAACACCACACTCAGTCATCAATTTGCCACTGAGATTTGGGAGGAACATGGAAGAACGAAGACCTGGACCAGTGAACAACTTGCCTCTGAGATTTGGAAGAAATATGAGAGGGAGCATCTTGAGAGGTGTTTCTAATCTGCCCCAAAGGTTTGGGAGGATGACAGCAGCCAAAAGTGTCAGGAAGACAATGAGCGACTTATTCCCATGGTCCGTGGGTTCACCACCTGCCAGTGAGTTGCTTTATTCAATGGCTTGCCAGCCTCTAGAAGTCCAGGATCCTGAACAAAAGTACCCAAGGTAAAAACCAGTTCAAATACATGGCAAGTCAGATAGCTTTGACTAGAAACATGTAAATCATTGCATCTATCCAAAGTAAATGTCTAAGTAGGAGAACAGGAAGGATACAGAGGACTAAATGCCTCTATGTTGACAGCTATCAAAGGCAAGGTATAGGTAATAGGGGAGCTCTCCTGGTTTAATGGTAAGGACTTTATGTTGCCAACTCAAAGACACATTATTTGAATACACCAGCTGCTCCATGAGAGAAAGATGGGCAATCAATTCCTGTGCAATTTACTGCCTCTGAAAATCCACTGGAGGGTCAGCTATAAGGTGGTTCCAACTTGTGATACATAATAACATAGACAATGTAATCACGAAAGGGCTCTGTAATATATTATCTCACATTTGACGTCTCTAATAGAGAAGGTCTTACTAAGGGAGTTGTTGGCAATGCCAAGGGGAGTTATATTGCTAACTCAAAGGCCACACCTCTCTGCAAGTTCAAATTTATTTGCTCCATGAGAGAAAGACAAGCAATCTCCTTCAGTGGGATTTGATCCCTTGGAAACCAGTGGGAAGGGCAGCTATGAGTCAGTTCTGACTCCAGGGCAATGAGTATCAGGGAGTTTACTATAGAAGGTCTCATCTAAGGCAGTTGGGCACAATACCAAGGATGCCATCTCAGTAACTCAGGTCTCAAATTCAGACCCCAAATTCAGGTATCAAACTCAGGCCCCAAATTTCAACTAAAGTTTTTTTTTTCTTTTCCTTGTTTTAGAAATTAATCTTGTTACCAGTTTCTGCACTAATTAATAACTATTAGTAATTATTTATGATGGTGCAGTGATGAAGAGTTCAGTAACACACTGAAAGGTCAGCGATTCAAGCCCACCAGTGACTGAGAGACAACATCTGGCCAACTACTCACACAAAGATGATCATCTAGGTAATCCTATGTGGCAGTGCTACTTTAACCAGTCTGGTCACTGTGAATCAGAGTCAACCTGGCCACACAAAACAACAACAAAATATACAAGCCAGGCTGCAAGTTATCTAAGAGATTCAAAATCCATTATAAACTACCGGCTTATTATTTCCTAGCAGAGAGTTATATAAAAGACATGCTTTCAAACAAAGTAGAACACAATAGTTTGGCTAAGATCTGAAGGAAATAAAGTGGCAAACTGCATCACCTTTTTAGAAAACCCCTGGCAATCTCTTACACTATCTTTTTCTCCACAGTATTTATCCTTATCTGCTGCTGTATATATTTGTTGTAAATCCTCTCTACTGTGACAGCACATCACATCATCATGAGCCCCATAGTGTTTGTCCATCATATCCTCGGTGTCTAGAACTGTACACCTGCCACCCAGTAAAACCAACTTAGTAAAACAATTGAGTCAGAACCAATTCATAAGTGACCTTTGGTGGGTTTTTAGAGGCTGAACCTCCATGGGAGAAGATTGCCCACCTTTTTTCCCACAAAACAGCTAGTAGATTCAAACTACCCATCTTCGGATTGGCAACACAACCCCTTACTCACTAGGCTACCAGGGCTCCTTTGACAGAGCTCTCAATATTTGGTAGGGCACTATGGTGGCTTAGTGGTAAGGAACTAACACTGTCAGCACAAAGGTATGTGGTTCGAATCCACCAGTTACTCTACAAGAGAAAGATGAGCAGTCTCCTCCAATGTGATTCACTGCCTCTGAAAACCTACTGGAGTGTCAGCTGTCGATTAGCTTCAATTTGATGATACACAAGAACAACACTTGGTGGGGTGAATAAACTGATAAAAGGCTGATACTAATACAGTTCCATAGATGTTCAGGATAAAAAGAGAGGTTTTCCTACCTATGGGAATCTAAGGCTGTTTCAAGATTTGGTTGTTGAAGGATGACTCTACTTTAAAAAGTCAAAAACTGAAAGGTGGAGATAGACATTTTCCATAAAAGAAAAGAATGAGTAAAGCCACCCAAGCAAGGTAAGCCATGAACAGCTGGGTTGAATTTGGTAAGAACAAAGGGTTTGCAAAGAGGAAATGACAGAAGGCTAGGCAGAAAAGAATAAGGTACAAATCTTCACAGAAAATCCAGCAGAAACAGAAAAACTAGTGAAGTTTCTAATGAGGTCTTGAGATATTGCCCTATGGTGGAATTGGCTACTAATCAGACTTTGGACTGAGGGTGATCATGAGGGAAAGATGAGATAATAGACATTTTTTTTATTTTTTTTTTTTTACTCTGAGTGGCTATTATTAAAACTGTAGGATCCCATCAATACTTTCTTCATTTCAAGTGAAACACAATTCATTCAACTCGAGTGTAATTAGGCAATAAGCAGCCTATATTTTCGTATGCTTTCTGATGGTACATGTACTGCTTACATTTTAGGAGGCTAGGATTCAAGAAAATAGATGCTGCAGAACTGAAGCAGGAAAAATAAATCTGGAGCCTGCCCCCGCAGATGACATAAAGCCGAGGCCTGTCATCTGCTGAGAGCTTCACCAGGCGACAGTGGATGAAGAGCTGTGGCCCTCGATTGCACCGCACCCAGAGATGTATACCACTGAGTAATTTCTGCTTGTCAGTCCAGCTAGTCATTGTAAAAACAAGTGTAATGTCATCTTGAGATGAATTAAAAAAAAGCACTGCAAATATTTACGAAGTGTTGGTAATGGTGAGAGGCAGAGAAAGGGATACACTAAACCCCATTACTCACTAGCTGTCATTGAATTCATTCAGACCATCTATTTGAGCTGAACTCTCCTCTCTGTAGTAGCCTTATGTATAAGGAGCTACCTTGCCAATTCAAAGGCAGACAGTTCAAATCTCAGGAAGAGAGATGAGCAGTAGATTTACTGCCTCCAAAAACCCACTGGAGGGTCAGCTATGAGTCTGTTTCAACTCCACATCACACAATTTTTCAAGTATATCACCATATTTGAACCTCTAATCTTTCCATTAGCAGCCTACCTCCTTAAGCAGTTGCGCTAACCAAAGATATAAAAGTCCTTGACACTGTTACACTTCAGGAAAAAACTTATTTATAAATAAAAGAGCAGCTTGACAAATACTTTTATGAAAATGAAACCATTTCACTAAATGTCATGATTGACAAATAACAGGACACACACAACAAATCATTTACAAATGCCTTTTCATTCATCCAGGGTTCCCCCCGGCCCCCGACTACTTCAGCTAATAATGAATCTTTGATAAATTATCATTTAAAATCTATCACCTCTCTGTTGTTTGTTGTTGTTCTTATGTGTCATCAAGTTGCCTGAGACATTGTGTAAATCTATAAGACACAGAAAAATCTTAGATTTTGGGATTTCAAAGAAAATGGCAAATACTTTGCCTTTGACTTCTTTCTAAATCTGGAAATATGACCTCTAATGGTCTTCTTTCTTCTCATCTGATATTTTGAGTTTTGAATTCATAGGAAAAAAGCTGGACATTCTTAAACTAAGAACTTAAAACTACACCACATCACAAATGCATAGTAATTTGACTTTAGTCAGAATAATATGAAGCCCTTAATCACATACATTGGTTTATTGAATAGTCTCCACTCTGTAGAGTGCAAAGAGGAAATAACTTTATTTCCCTCTCATCCTGCTCCCAGCTGTGCAGAACTGAATCTCCTTCTCCTGCTGAGGAGAGATCCCTTAATGATACCCTGGACAGATTCTATAACTTCCTCGGGCACTTTTTGATATTAAAAAACTCAGTCAAGTCCAGTTGAAGACACCAAGTTCCCCTCCCCTCCCCCACTGCTGGCCGATCTGCTAGCAGAAGGGACTGAAGTGGGCAGGGGGCAAAGTCTGCTCTTTTTACTTCTTCCCAGGGGATAATTGCTCATTATTAGCCAAAAAGTTGGCTGTTCGAAGTCCCCTAGTCACGCAACCAGCAGAGTGCTTTTCCATCAGGGTCATCAGTCATGAAAGTCCTGTACCACAGGGTCACTAAGAGTCTGACTGGACTCGATGGCATCCAACAGTGGAATGGCATCCCTTTTCTCAAAGGTAGGATGGTGAAAAGGGAACTAGCAAGCCTTGGGAAAGCAATCTCTCCTCCTCTCCTCCCCAGGTGTTACAGCAGGTGGAATGTCGCTCACCTGCAGACTATGTGCCCCTGCTCTCTAATGATCTCTTCTGTACTGACTCATCACCTCTTACTGCTAGAAAGAAAGGCTCACCCTGGCTCCCTTCTCTATAGCCACATGTTGTTGTTGTTGTTGTCATATGCTGTTGACTAGCTTGAGACTTACCAACCCTGTGTACAACAGTCCTAAATCCTGCTCTACCCTGTGCCAATTTTATTGTCACTGACACACCTACCCCCATTACCCCAGTCACTGAATTCGTCTCATCAAGGGTCTTCTTCTCCTGCACTGTCCCTCCACCTTCCCATGTATAACGACCCTCTCTAAGGACTGATCCCACCTTTCAACCTGTCCAAATATCCACATGATGTGCAGAAAATGTAGACATCTTTGTCCTGCCAAGAATGAGGCTGCAGGCTGCCCCTCAGGTGCCCCATCACTAACCTACCTGTCTCCAACACTCTGCCCTATCTTAGGAAGCCCAGGACAGACAAGCAAGTGCACTGCCAGGCTGGAGATGAAATGTCAGAACCCTCTTCACAAAGACACCCTACTCCCTTGAGTGACTTTCTGGCTTCCAGACTTAAAACTCACAACTACACGTTCCCCAGCTCTGTAAACAGCTAAGCGCCTGCCTAACTGAGAATCTGGTGGTTTATGTATACTAAAGGTGCCTCAGAGGAAAAACCCGATGATTTTCTTCCAAAAATTCAATCACAAAAATCCCAAGGAGCACAGCAAACAACAAATGCTGGTGAAGTTGTGGAGAGACTAGAATTCTGATTCATTGCTGGTAGGAGTGTAAAATGGTGAAGCCAGCTATGGAAGTCTGTCTCGTGCTTTCTCCAAAAATTGAAAATAGAAATACCTTTTGACCCAGAAATTCTACTACCAAGAATACACCATAAAGAAACCAGAGCCTTGACTCAAGCAGATGTATACACATACATGTTTATTGCTGCATTATTCACAATAGCAAAGAGATGAAAGTAAGCCCAAGTGCGTGTCAACAAAGGAATAGATAGAAAAACTATGGTACATTCACACAATGGATTATTACATAGCATTTAAAACCAATGAACTAGTAAAACATTGTACAATATGGGGGAACTTGAAGAACATTATGCTGATTGAAATATCTCAGTCACAAAAGGCCAAATGCTGCATAACACCACTGTTATAAGATAGGACAGACATAGGGGGGTTGGGGAGAGAAAAGGAAAAGAGTGGGTAGATAATGAACACTGCATTGAAATAGACAAGGGTAAGAACTGTTTGAAAGGTATGTATGATTAGATATTATAAGTATGACAGCAATCTGGAACAAGAGGTGCAATGCAGAGTGGACTAGGTTTTGGGGTAGGAAGGGGGAGGTTAGAAAATGTGCAACAGTGAATTAATTTAAAAAAAAAAATCCCAAGGAGAGCAGTTCTGCTCTGTAATTGAGGAGGTTGCCCCCAGCCAGCACTGACTCAATGGCAGCTGCTTTGATTCTGTTTGTTTGTTCACCTGGTGTGAGGGACACAGACTGGAGCTGTCATGCCAGTTCTTAGTAACCACTCCTGGGGTATCTGACCCCTCGCCATTTATGGTTTTCATTATGATCAACAGATTCTCCCCGTCTCTGATCTGGTCTGCATTTACAATCCTGAAAAACAGAGAAAATAACATGTTACATTGTGCTACATTAGTAAACAAAAGAAATTATCCTGCAACATTCTGCTGTGCTAATGAACAAACAAAAAATTTGGCCTCTTGAGATTACAAGATAAACGGCAATTTCTAATTGTAGAGTTTAGGCTCTTGATGAATCCTCCTAAATGAAGAGAAAACGTTAGGTGAATAACCAAGTTTCAGACGTCCTCCTTCTACTGGGCTTACACAGTATTGACTCCTTAACAGCCCTTCCAGCAGCTTTCACAAGACATTCCTTCATATATGTGTTTGGATAGTTTGCAGTATTGCTGAGGATTTACGGGATTGGGAGGAAGGATCATGCTCCACAGCGTTTCACTGGAAAGGCTCCGATCGTGAGCCTCTCTTCCTCCAAACCTCTCTTTAATTGGACCACAGGCAGGCACCGGTGGATGGCCCATGATCATGGGACCTATGCAGATCCCATGTTCAGAGAGTCCTTCATTCAGAGGGCTATGTGCTTAGTTAAATATTCTGCTGTTGACAAGTTGAAATTCCTTATGTGTGTGTGTGTGTATAATTATTATATATATTATATATTATTACATATCTCTTATATATCTTATTATATCTCTTATTATATATCTCTTATTGT